AAAAAAAGAACTATCAAAGCAATACATATCTGTGGTTTTAAAAAGAATAATAAAAAGTAGAAAATCATTTAAAATAAAAAGTTTGCTCTGCCCCACTCTCAGAAGCATAAACGTAATCTCTCTCCCCTTTGGAAGTCTCCAGGAAACTCCTGACCTCAAACAAATCACGCTCACGTGGACTGATTAACTCCAGAGAATAAGCTGGAAAAAGGGGTTGGGGATATGCGTTTAGCTTAATAATCTTCCAAAAATGCACAATTCAGTAATAGATGCATTATTGACATCTATCTATATTATAGATAACATTTATTTTCTTCTTTATAGTTTTCTGTGTTTTCAGAATTTGTTTGGCAACAGACATGTATAAGCAAAAAACCCAGAGCTATTAAATAGAAAATGAGTAAAGGAAAACATGCAGAGTCCCCAAAGAATACGAAAGGACTGAAAAATGGTACCAGGTTTAACTACTTTCTGCTAAGAAAGGCCAAGAAGGTTCTCTGACATTTGCTCTACAATGTTTTGATGCCAGCCCCAGATTAGAAATTGGCTTTGTGATATTAAATTGAAAAACATACTCTTACTCTTGCATCAGGCTCAAAGCCCCTGGGATTGGTCAAAAGATTTCATTAGTACCTGTTCTGCAAAACACATAGTCGATTAATACCTCCAATTTCTTTTTGTCTTAATAAAAAACAGGGCCGGGTGCGGTGGCTCCTGCCTGTAATCCTAGCACTCTGGGAGGCTGAGGCGGGCGGATCGTTTGAGCTCAGGAGTTCGAGACCAGCCTGAGCAATAGTGAGACCCCGTCTCTACTAAAAATAGAAAGAAATTAGCCGGACAACTAAAAATATATAGAAAAAAAAATCAGCCGGGCATGGTAGCACATGCCTGTAGTCCCAGCTACTCGGGAGGCTGAGGCAGAAGGATTGCTTGAGCCCAGGAGTTTGAGGTTGCTGTGAGCTAGGCTGATGCCACGGCACTCTAGCCCGGGCAACAGAGCAAGACTCTGTCTCAAAAAAATAATAATAATAAAAATTAAAAATTAAAAAAAAGTCAGAAAAATTTAATCTTTTAAAAAACAATACTAAGTTTAAGATGAAAATTATATATAAATTACATTAAATATACTTGTAATCACCAAGAATCTGGCAAACAGGGTTGTACACAAGCAAATTTTATTTTGAAATTTCAAATTTCTAAGGACAAAATGTCTTGTCTTGGTATACAGGCAGTATGCTGGTATTATAAATAGCTTTGTTCCTTGGTCCAGACAATATTCTAAGTTTGCAAGTGCTAGTTGCAAAGACTCACTGTATTGTTAGTTATCTATTCAATATTCCCCACCTCTTCTACCTTAATGTAGACCCAGGAGTTCATTCAGAGTAGCAATATGCAAATTAAAAATGTTTTGCTCCCCAGACCACCTTGTACACAGATTGGAGGATGTGTAGAATGTGTCCCAGTTTCCCAGTTTAAAAGACAGATAAGCAAAGAGATAAGATTAGACTTCTGGGAGAGCTATTTTTTCTAATTTAAAAAAGAAGACAGACATATGAGACTCAGCTGGCATGAGCCTTTTGCCTTTCCCCTTCTCCATGCCTATCAACACTTACAACCATAATGATGTGAGCTACGTGATAAAGACGACAAACTAGGAAGCAGAAAAGGAGACTTGGTCCTGTGAAAAAACTAAACCTTTTGGTTAGGTTAAAGCAAAATTTACACAGGAGCCTTAACATTAGACAGACAGAGGAAACATGTATCTGAGTGAAATAAATCTGACTCTGTGAATAAAAATCACATAGAAAAAGAAAGTGCTTTATCTTTCGGTCAAGGCTTTTATAAAGAATAATCTATGGCCAGGTATGATGGCTTACACCTGTAATCCTAGCACTTTGGGAGGCCAAGGTGGGGGAACTGTTCGAGGCCAGAAGTTCAAGACCAGCCTAAGTAACACAGTGAGTCCCCGTCTCTATAAGAAATTAAAAAATTAGCTGGGTGTGGTGGTGTGCGCCTGTAGTCCTAGCTACTGGCAAGGCTGAGGTGGGAGGATCATTTGAGCCCGGGATGCTGAGGCTGCAGTGAGCTACCTTAGTGCCACTGTGCTCCACGCCAACCTGGGCAACAGAGCAAGACCCTGTTTCCAAAAAAAAAAAAGATCTATAATGAAATTATCCAAAATGACTTTTCTGTTCCAAAGTAACTAGTTCATATACATAAAAATAGTTAACCAATCAATCCCTCAAATCCCATTTGGGATAGTCCAGTCTCCTATTCCTACAAAGACAGAATAGGTAGAAGAAAGAAGACAGACATTATTTTTATCAGTATTACAAATTATAGCCCCAAATACCAATCCCTTTATAGTTTCTGCATATAAATATTCCCATGGTTTATCATGTACTTCCAAAATATATGTGGGAAATTATCATAAGCTCTAAAAATGTTATTTATAATTAAGTTTGCACATTACAAAATTAACTTCAGGATTTGAATGATTTTTTTTGCCAAGACAGAGTCTTGTTCTGTCACCCAGGCAAGAGTGCAGTGGTGTCATCATACCTCACTGCAACCTCAAATTCCTGGGCCCAACTGATCCTCCTGCCTCCCAAGTAGCTGGGACTACACTCGTTACCACCCTGACTAATTTTTCTACTTTTTGTAGAGATGCGGTCATGCTCTAGCTCAGGCTGGTCTTGAATTTATGGCCTTAAGCAATCCTCCTGCCACACAGTAGGATTTGAACTTGTTTGTTTTAAGAGAGACAGAGTCTCGCTCTGTCACCCAGGCTGGCATGATCATAGCTCACTGTAGCGTTGAACTCCTGGGCTCAAGCAATCCTCCTGCCTCACCCTCCCAAGCAGCTGGGACTTCAAGGGTACACTACCATGTCTGGCTAATTTGTTTTTTATTTTTTGTAGAGATGGAGTCTTGCTAGGTTGCCTAGGTTGGTCTCAAACTCCCACCTCAGCCTCCTAAAGTGTTGGGATTACAGGCATGAGCCACTGAGTCCAGCCAGGATTTGAACAATTTTCTAACACAGCCCTATATAAAACAAGGCAATGAAAGCCACAAAGATTGAAATTCAACTGAAATCCAAACTGGAGAGAGGGCGGGGAGAGAGAGAGAAAGAGGAAGAGCAAGAGGAGGAAAGGGTAAAGGGGAGGAGAGGGTATGAGGGGGAGAGCATGATGGGTGATGGAGGAGGGGGAGGAAGGAAGAGGGAAGGAGGGAAACGGGGAAAAGGAAAGGAGAAGGGGAAGACACAGCTTTACTCAATTTTAACTTAAATCAACAAAGGTTTAATAGAAGGACCTACATTCTAACTCTGAAGAGGTTCAGATTTAATTAACTCATCTCTAAAATACCAGGGATATATGCCCCTTAATTCCTTAAAAGTAGAAGACTATAAATGCAGTAAATTGGACTTTAGTTAACATTAAGACAAAGAATTGTTGTTCTATTTTTTGACTTTATTTTGATTTCCCTTTAGTTTTATATTATAAACTCTTTTAAGAGATGTAAAATCAAATTGGGGGACAGAGAAAACCTAACTAGCTAATTCTAAATGTTACATATACAGAAAAAAGGATAATAAAAGCAGAGTTACTTCTAAATTTGCTTACCGTGAAGTACACCTGTAAAAAAAATTCAATGTATCTTCAAAGAAAAGTTATTTATAAGTAAAATACTGATCTTGTTTGCTTGATTATGGAAATGTAAATAAAGCAGGGGTAAAAAAGTAGCATCCAAGAAAAAAGTACATTTCTGGAGTTTCCTACCTTCCAGTGTCTACCACAGTTCCTAGTACATAACAAGTAGCCGATAAATATTTGTTGAATGAATAAACAAGCTCTATGACAAAGCAAAAAGATATATAAGAAATACATCTTGTTTCATAATACTCAAATCTAAGCTAAGCTGTCTACAGCAGGTTAACTATACTTTGGAAATGGGAGGCAGGAGCCCATATCATCACAGAGATTTATTCAAATGTTGGTGTATATTTTGAAGAGCTAAAACTATAAAAGCCACTAAGTACCATTACAGCACATAATTGTAGGGTATGTTCCAACTCACCTCACACAACATTCTACTGCACGAAACCAATGAAGCATCTCATCATGTAGAGTACACAACTGAAGGCAGGAAAGAAAAACTTTCTCAGCATCACTGTACCAGCCTGCATCTGAAAGAAAGCCACCTAAAGAAAAGAAAAATCAGTAATTTTAGATAATTTAATAAATTGCCTGAAAGCTACAAAGACATGCCTACAGTGAATATTATCTAAACTAAAACAAACCCGTAATATTAAAGTCCTGTGGCTAGCCTAAAGCAAAGATATTAACTGTGAAGTTCTGAACTAGGGGGATTAGGATCTAAGTTGAGACTTTGAATAGGAGTTAAGAGTTTTAACCCTCTAAGAATACTCCATGGCCTAAGGCTTGACGTTTTCCAGCTAATGATCCACTAAATTCTAATTATTCTATTATTTTCATCTTGCAGTGTACACATAACTTTTCAATTTCCCAGTACCCAATCCCAAAGAAGGTAAAGAAATCTGAATAAACAATCTTGTTAGTACAGCAGCAAATCATATAGGAAGGATACACAGATAAAAAAGATGGTGATGCTTGCTCATCTTATTTTTTCAGCAAGAAATTAAATTACTGTCCTGACATCATTTCTTCTGAATACTCTCTGAGGATCTTGGCTCCTAATAATGATTAACCTTGAAATACATTTTTAATACACTGTGTAACCACTTTGTATTGTGGTAACCACTCTGCATGAATTCTCTCATTTAACTTTCACAACGCATCTTCAACTTAAATGCAATTACTGCCTCAATTTATTAGATGAAAAACTTGAGGCCAGAGGATCCAAAGCTTACAAGCTAGTTACGTGCAAAGATTCGAATCCATATAATCTGATTTCAGAGGCTAAATCTATAGTTACTATACTACATTAGCTATCATGAGGAACACTTTCTTAGTATTACTGAAGATTAGTTACAATAACCGGAAAACACAAAGTGACATTTTGTATTTCTTCAATCCTAAAACACACATTTTTTGCACATCTTAAAACCTCTAAAATTAGAATACATCATAAAACTGATGATGTATTACAAAAATTGGCAGCATTTTTTTCTTGGTACACAAAAAATATGGTATGTCTTAATGGTGTCAATAATGTCTGAGTCAATAAAATATATTTTGTTCAGACCCATGTTTTATGTTTAATTAAAGCTACATGTAATCAGACAAATTTTATTTTACTCATTGGAAACAACTGTGCTTTAGAACATCTAAGGTCCTTACCAAGTGACTAGAATAATGAGGTGATTATACATATTCATAAGCAACCTTCTATTCATTATCCCAATATATTGTGTTGTGTCAGTTATTAGGATATTGTCTCTCGGCTTCGAATCGCCCTTCTAGACTCTGTTTTATGATGCTGAGGCAAGGACTCTGCAAACCACATTTCTCATTTGCTAGCTGGCTCCTTGTTAGGCTCTGCCAAAGGGAGGCACTAGAAAAAGGGGCTGCAAGACTGGAAGATCAAGGGACATTCCCTCATGTTTCTGTCAGCACGGGCCCTGCTGACTCTGGGAGTAACAGTTCATTCCAGGAAGCAACAGTTAATATGAGCTACAGTTTTCTAACACTTCCAAAACCAGTTTCACAGCATGGCATGAGATGCCCCTCCTAGGGGTCAAGATCCACCAGCCTAACAGTATCCTAGCTCTACAAGGCACTTCCTCAAGCTTCCAAATGACAGTAATTCCAACCACTTTCCTTGGTTCCCCAAGCCCTAGTTGTGGTAGCTAATTCTTGCAGTTGGTATTTTGTCTTTTCAGTTCTCTAATATCTTGGTAAAAATTCTTTATAAAACTCTTTAAAAAATTCTATCTCTACAACATGGCTGGACCTTGCAAATATTATGCTAAATAGCCAGTCACAAAGGCCATATATTTTATGAGTCCCTTTATATAAAATGTCCAAAACAGGCAAATCTATAGAGACAGAAAGTAAAGTGATGGTTGCCTGGGGTTGGAGTGAAATGAAGAATGACTGATAATGGGTAGGGTTTTCTTTTCTTTTTTTTGAGACAGAGTCTCGCTCTGTTACCCCGGACAGAGTGCTGTGGCATCAGCCTAGCTCACAGCAACCTCAAACTCCTGGGCTCAAGCAATCCCCTGCCCCAGCCTTCCGAGTAGCTGGGAAGAGAACCAAGTCCTAGCAAACTCATATTATCAGTCTTAATCCTAAAATTATCCAAAGAGTAAATAAACATTATACCAAAAATATACAGTGATAGAGATAATTTTTTAAAATAACAGCCTTATTGAGATATAATTCACATACCATACAGTTCATCCATGAAAAGTATACAATGCAGTGGTTTAATATGAGTTATGATAATAGGAGTTTGCTAGGACTTGGGTTTTCTGAGATATCTATCTGGCTTATTACAACAGCCAAATTGGTATAAGTATATGTGGAGATGACCAGAGGACTTCAATGAACCTTCCTGCCTTTCACCTACCTTGATACTAAATTTCTCTCACACAGATTTTTACATGACCATTTATAAGTAAAGGGATATCATTATTAACATTTGCCAAGATCACAGACACTCCATTATTACAGACATTCTTTTGTCAATTCTTTGTCGAAACTGACATTCCATGAGACTATTAAAGGATAAATGTTGAGGGCTCTTTTCAGAAAAGACTATTCTGGACTGGGTACAGTAGCTCACACCTATAATCCCAGCACTTTGGGAGGCCAAGGCAGGAGGATTGCTTGAGGCCAGGTATTTGAGACCAGCCTGGGCAACACAGTGAGACCTTGTCTCTACAAAAAAATAAGAAAAAATTAGCTGGGCATGTTGGCGCATGCCTGTAGTCCTAGCTACTTGGTAGGCTGAGATAGGAAGATTGTTTGAGCCCAGGTGTTCCAGGCTCCAGTGAGCTATGATCACATCACTGCACTCTAGCCCAGATAACAGAGCAAGACCCCATTTCTAAAAATGAAAGAAAAAAGAAGAAAGAAAGAAGAAAGAAAGAAGGAAGAAAGGAAGGAGGGAAGGAGGGAGGAAGGGAGGGAGCAAAGGAAGGAAGGAAGGAAGGAAGGAAGGAAGGAGAGAGAGAGAGAAAGAAAGAAAGAAAGAAAGAGAAAAAAAGAAAAGAAAAGAAAGAAAAGAGGGAGGGAGGGAGGAGAGGGAGGCAGGGAAAAGAAAAGAAAGCTCTAAAGTTCCTCCAGCAAGTTGTCTTTGACCACTACAAAGAATTATTCTAAGATTGAAGGAAATGGTTGTGAAAATTTGTATGCGCATGTGTGTGCACATGAGAGACTGAGAGAGAAAAAACATGTACATGCACACATTAATGTGAGAAGTTAAAAATGAAAGGTAGTCTGTGGTGATAGAACAGTACTGTATCCTGATAGTGATGGAGGCTATATGACTCTTGACATGGAATCAATTGCACAGAAACACACACAAAATGAGTGCATGTGAAAACTGGTAAAAACTACATAAGGCCTATAGTCTAGTTAACACTATAATACCAATGTCAATTTCCTGATTTTGATATTGTTCTACAGTTATATAATATGTCACCACTGGAGGAAGCTGGAGGAATGGTTCAAAGAAGTCTAGGTATTCTTTTGCAACTACCTGTCAATCTGCAATCATTAAAAAAAAAAAAAACTTTAAATAAAAAAGGTAGCAGCAATGTAAATAGTTGTCTGAAACATACCTATATAGATTTGTGAAAACCACAAAAATGTTATACAAACACCAAACAATATTTTTCTATATGTATAGCATACAAAACTTTTTCTGACTGCTTTTACGTTTGTTTTCACTACCCTCATGATATCCCCATGAAGAAATACAATAACCCTCATTTTAGAGATGGGACAACTGAAGCCCCAAAAGGATTATGTCCCATGCTACAGCCTACAGTAAGCAGGTGAAAGAGGCTGGTGGCAGCAGCCTGACATGGTAGAAAGATATGTGCTTTGGAATCATACAGACACAGGATTCTAAACTTAGCTCCTCTACCAGCTATGTGACTTGAGCCAGTTATTCAACTTTTCTGTTTCCTCATATGTAAAGTGGTATTAATACCATCACCTCATTGGAATGTCACGAGGATTTAGAAAGATACCATTTAAATGCCTAGTATCATGCTTGGCACAGAACTAATGTTCAATAAATGACAAGCAGTTCTTCTGACATTCTTCTTATAACCTCCTCATAACCTCCTTAAGTAGACTTTGGGTAAAGTCCTGGGGGAATCCTTTATTGTTGGCAGGTTTAATTCTGAGTCTATTACAGAACAAAATACTCCTCTATTTTATCATTACTTACCTAAAACAAAGCCAACCTGAATGGCTTTTTCCTTTACTGCAGCATCTGATTCTGCGATATAAGAGCACCGTCTACTGAATGAGTAGGCCAAGACAGAAGCAACTTTAACACCATGATCCATCAAAGCCTGAAAACAATGATGAAGCAAATGTCTGAAAGAGAAGAAAAAGGCTTATTTTATAGAGGTAACTTACTTTGTCCTTTTAGAAAGTGCTAGCTGCTTCTCTTTTAAACCACAGCATTATTATTTTCCAGGATGGAGTAAGTTAAAAAGTGTTTTGCCTTATGAATCATGAGGCTATAATAACTCAAAATTTAGCCTAATATCTTTACTCGAGGAATATAACACTCAGGAAAAGTACAGTGCATAACTTGACGCCAATGAAGGATGAGGCTAACTTCTAAAATCAGCTTTAAAAACCAAATTACAATTCAACAATAAAAAGACAAATAATCCAATTAAAAATATGCAACGGGGGGGCAAGGGCAACACACGTAACCTAAACATCTGTATACCCCCATAATATGCTGAAATAAAAAAAATTTTACCCACAAAAAAAAAAAATAGGCAATGGATTTGAACAGACATTTCTCCAAAGAAGATATACAAATGGACAATAAACACAAAGTAAGATGCTCAACATCATTAGTGATTAGGGAAATGCAAACCAAAATCACAATGAGATACCACTTCACAGCCAAAAGAAGGGCTATTAATAATTTTCAAACAATTTTTTTAGAGATAGGGTCTCATTCTGTCTCCCAAGGTGGAGAGTGCAGTGGCACAATCATAGCTCACTACAACCTCAAACTCCTGGGCTCAAGCGATCCTCCTGCCTCAGCCTCCCAGGTAGCTAGGATCATAGGTGTATGCCACCATGCCTGGTTAATTTTTTAAATGTTCTTGTAGAGACAGGATCAAAAATGAAACTAGCATCTCAAAAATAATAAGGTATATGTTTTTAAAATGTATCTTTAATTTTTTTTTTCTTGAGGGAGGGTCTCACTCTGTCCCCCAGGTTGGAGTGCAGTGGCATAATCATAGCTCACTGCAGCCTCAAACTCCTGGGTTCAAGCCATCCTTCCGTTTCAGCCTCCTGAGTAGCTGGGACTGCAGGTACACACCACCACGCTAATTTCTCCTGTTTTTTGTAGAGATGGGATTGCTATGTTGCCCAGGCTGGTCTTGAATTCCTGGCCTCAAGCGATCTCCTTAGTCTCCCAAAGTGATGGATTATAGGCATGAGCCACCATGCCCAGCAATATATTTTTTTAAGTATTGGCAAGATGTGGCCAAATTGGAACCCTCATACACTAGCGGTGGGAATGTAAAATGGTGAAGCTGCTGTGAAAAGAGTTAGCAGATCCTTAAAAAGTTAAACATAGGGTTATCATATGTATACATCCTAGGTATAAACCCAAGAGAACGAAGAATATGTCTATACAAAATCTTGACCAAGAATGTTCATAACAGCATTATTCATAATAACCAAAAGGTGGAAACAACCCAAATGTTCATCAACAGGTGACTGGATAAACAAAACATAGTATTATACTTACAATGGAAAATTATTCAAGCAGTAACATGAATGAGCCTTGAAAACATTATGCTAAGTGAGAGAGTCAGTCAACAAAAGATCATATATTTTATGATTCCATTTATATGAAATATCTATAACAGGCAAATTCATAGAAACAGATAATAGATTAATGGTCAGCCAGAGACTAAGGGTAAGAAGAAATAGAGAGTGACTATTAATGGTTTCTTTTTGAGGTGATAAAATGTTCTACAATTAGACAGTGGTGATGGCTTCAAAACTTTGTGAATAACTGAATGGTACAATTTAAAATGGTGAATTTTATGGTATGTGAATTATATCTCAATAAAAAAATCTTGAAAGAACAAAACTGTAACTGCTTTGAACAAAGGGAAAAAGGGTCAAATTACATGCTTTTAGTTTCACAAACATATAAAACACTTACCAAGGGATTTGGACTTGGTGAAAGATAACCTAAGAGATGAAAAAGAGGTATTCCACTAAATCTTTACAACAGCCACATTGAGAACTGCACAGAGAATTTCAAATCCCAGAAAGCTGACCTTTCCTTAAGGAATGCTTTTTAAAGCTTTTCTGTAATCGTAGTACACAAGCCACGTTTCAAAGTCATCCTTGGATGCTGAAATCATGCTATTTGTTTACTTGTTTCTTATCTTATCATCACTTGCTAAAATACAAACTCCATGAGAAAAGGCCCTGTAGATCTCATTCACTGCTGTACCTCCAGCATCTAGAACAGTACCTGCATATACTAGGCATTCGACGAGTATTGATTTAGCTAATTTGTTGAACAAATAAAACAACTTTGCAATATTACTAGAGATTAGCAGTATTTTGTGAAACTATATTCTTATTTGCCTAGAAATGTGAGTTACGAAAAAGAAATGGCAGTTAAAGCAAATTTAGGGGAAAATACTACATAAAACAGCACGTACAATCAAAGGCCAGATCATCCCTTTGTGGCTCCTACTACATGACAACACCTACAATGAGGAAGATGAATTCAGTCTCCCTTTCTTGAACTCAAAAAGCTAAACTGCCAGAGTGTTAACTTTCCAAAGGGGATAGAGGCAGACAGAACAAACGCTGTTCTCTTTGTCACCAGGCTTAGTTGTTTGAGCTGTACAATTACTGTGACAATACTTTTACCTTATTCTGTATCATGCTGGTGGGCACTCCTCAAGCTGTAAGTCTTTTTTTTTTTTTTTGAGACAGAGTCTGGCTCTGTTGCCCTGGCTAGAGTGCCGTGGCATAAGCCTAGCTCACAGCAACCTCAAACTCCTGGGCTCAAGCAATCCTCCTGCCTCAGCTTCCCGAGTAGCTGGGACTACAGGCATGCGCCACCATGCCCGGCTAATTTTTTCTCTCTATATATATTTTTAGTTGTCCAGATAATTTCTTTCTATTTTTTAGTAGAGACGGGGTCTCGCTCTTATTCAGGCTGGTCTCGAACTCCTGACCTTGAGTGATCCACCTGCCTCGGCCTCCCAGAGTGCTAGGATTACAGGCGTGAGCCACCGCACCCGGCCAAGTTGTAAGTCTTAAAATAAACTGCTTTCAAATTCTACTTCTAGGTATATATCTAACAGATATGTGTACATATGTTCACCAAAGGTATGTACAAGAATCTTCACAGTAACACTATTTATAATAGCTAAAAACTGGTAATAGCCTAAATATCCATCAATAATAGAATGAATAAATGATGACATATTCATATGAAGAAACACCATACATATACAGCATTGAGAATGAACAAACTACAATTGCACACAACATAGGTGATTCTCATAAACGTAATACTGAGGTGGAAAAAAAGCCAGAAACAAAACGGTACAAACTGTACGACTATATATATGAAGTTCTAAAACAGGCAAAATGAACAAAATGGTTACCCTGGGGAGGGGAAGTAACTGACTGGAAAAAGGCAAATCAGAGCTTTTGGGGTTCTAGTAACAAATGCAAATAAAGTAACATAATACATAGTACAATAATACCAGATATATAGAAAAGCCAATGTGAGACAATTTCTCAATAAAATAATTTCAGAGATTTATATTGGCACTACATGTACGAAGGTAAGATTATTTTAGCCATTCTAAGTTTTCTAATATAATCATATCTATGAAGTACTTTCCACATCACATAAGGAATTGGTTAAAAAATAAATGTTACCTAAAAATATATTTATGGAAAATAGTACGGCAGTTCCTAAAAAAATTAAAAATAGCAAGCAGGCATGATGGTACACATTTGTAATCCCAGCAGCTCAGGAGGCTGAGGAAGGACTGCTTGAGCCCAGGAGTTCAAGGCCAGCTTGGGCAATGTAGCAAGATCCTATCTCTTAGAAAAAATTAAAATGAAAATTAAAACAGAATTACCATATGATCCAGCAATTCCACTTCTGGGTATGTAACCAAAATAACTGAAAGCGGAACTCAAAGAGATACTTGTACACTCATGTTCACAGCAGCATTATTCACACTAGCCAAGAGACAGAAACAACCCAAATATCCATCAACAAATGAATGGATAAACAAAATGTGGCATACGCATATAATGCGATATTATCCAGCCTTAAAAAGAAATGAAAAAATCTGACACATGGGCCGGGCGCGGTGGCTCATGCCTGTAATCCTAGCACTCTGGGAGGCTGAGGCGGGCGGATTGTTCGAGCTCAGAAGTTCGAAACCAGCCTGAGCAAGAGCGAGACCCCGTCTCTACTAAAAACAGAAAATTAATCGGCCAACTAAAAATATATAGAAAAAATTAGCCGGGCA